ATTACCTTTTAACTTATTGAATATCGACAGAGCCTTATTCTGAATTAATATTTGGATCAATGGCATTCTTCTTTAATTCTGATTTTCTATCCCAATGAATAGAAGGAACTAAATTTAATGGACTTCTAGTTTTTATAACTTGTTTGACCTGTAAACGTGTGACAGCTTTTCCATAGTCGTTTATCTTGTCCGCATCACGACAACAAAATGTTCTTACAATAGTTGAAGTAGTTGAAACCAAGAATTCTCCCAATGTCAGCAGGTTTTTCTCCAAAGTTCAAAATGTTTTAAAATGTGTAACTTTTATTCCAAGGAAATTTGTTTACTCATTTATACTTTATTAAACAGAAATTTACTTCTCTAATTCATCACAAAAATATCGATCTGTAGAATTCCACGGTCTGCAATAACAGCAGGAATAGATGCTCTATCTATATAGATAGATAGAGTATATTAAAGATAGACCATCTAAGTGAAATTACTGTGGCTAAGACTAAAAATTACTGTGTGAAAAACTCATACAAAAACTTAAAGTTGAAGTGTATTTAAAATCAGTAAGGGTATGATGACAGACTTGAGAAGAATTCATGATGTCATTTAATCTTAATTAATTGAATAAATAATTTTACATTAACATTAAAAATAAAACAAAGCTTCTTTTTATTTTAATATTTTTTATATACTTTTTATTTGATTTTAAACTTTTTTTTTTATTTTGTATATTGATTTTTATTTATTTATATATGATTGCGTATAGCTCACAAAAAGAATCAAATAAATTTAATTATTAATAATTAATTTGTATATATATTTATTTCTATAATAATATATGTATTATGTAAATATATCTTAAATATATATTATATTCGTATTTTATTTTATTATTTTTTTTTTTGTTATATACAGATCTCAATATGTTTTATTATTTAAAACAATTTGATAAAATTACATATGTATACGTATATACATATATATAATATTAATAAAGAAATTTGATTATTTTGCTGATTACATTATAATAATATAAGATAAAATTTATTTATAAAACTAGTTTTCTATGCTTTAGAAGACTACATAAAAAATAACTCTTAAGTATGTTAATTGTAGATGCATTTATGCAAATACATAAGTACTAAGTATATGTATGCAAATAGATAAAATCGTTAAGTAGCAGATGTGGCATATGATATATATGTATATATCTATAAATAAATATATATATACATAAACATATGTACTATTAATGCATATGGTTAGTTGATTATGAATTTATTTGTATAAAAATTCTGTGTTTTTTATAAACTATTATTGTATATAAAAAAATCGTATATATTTATTTATTTGTATAAAAAAAAAACAAATGTTTAGTTTTTCTTGTCTTTTATTTATTTTTTTATGTAGTATTTTTTGTTTAATTATAAACATTAAATTAGGACTAATTATGTATTTAAAATATTACATATGATGAATAATTTTTTAAAAAAAAAGTATTTATATATAGATAGTAATAAAAACATCAATAATTTACTACAACACAAATATTTGCGTATAAGTAAATTTTGTTTTATATTAGCGCTACGAAAATATTTTATATATGCTTATATCAATTGTTTATATATATATATAATAATTTTGTCTTTATTTTGTTTTATATACATCATTATGCGTTTTGCGTTTTCAATTATTTTGCCCTGTTTTTTTTTTATTTTGTTATCATCAATTATATTAATAATAATTTTTTTCAGCATATAATTATTGTTAATTGAAATCACTACTACAACATTGATATTTTTTAAAATATTTCATATATTTTTCTCTTTTTTGTATATACGCTATATAAAGACAAATTTTAAAACTTAAAAACGATTTATTAGAAATAAAAAATAAACGTCATGAGTAGAAAAAAATCAAATTCTACTAATATAGAAAATCATTAAATATTAAATTACACATATATAATAATAGTACGTACTACGTTTAATCTTAATTAAAAATTTTTTAATTTATTGTAATAAATTTTTGATTTTAAAAGGACTTGAATTCTCACAAAACAAAAGTATTTTTTAACTTTGTCAACTTGTAAATAATTTATTATTTATAAATTTAATTCTTGACTTTTCATAAATTCCATTAAATACAAAAATTCATCATTCTTAAAATTATCACCAAGCAAAAATGTTATTATTCTAATATTTTACAAAGGAATTCAATAAAAAAATTTGAATTAAATAATTTGTTTCTTAATTATTCAGTAATTTTTAATTTAACTTATGAAGCTCTTTTTTATATACATTTATATATATACTTACATATATATGTATATAGATTGTTTTTTTATATGTATATAATAATAACATATAAAAATAATTATAATGGAGATTATTGTAATAATTATGAATAAATTTATATGTTTTTTTTTATTTAAAATAAACATTTTAAAAATATTAATTATCAGAAAAAAACATATATTTCAATGTCATGTTTAATTAAAATTAAATTTAGAATTAAAAATAAATAATGCTCAATAAATATTTTTTTTTAACTTTGATAATTTAAATAAAAATAAGTCTCAAAACAAGACAAGATTTATTACAGCATAGAATAGAAGTAAGACTGAGAATATATATATAAGAAATCTTATGCTCAATTTAGCAACTACAACTATGGAACAATATATATGGGAACTCATTGATTAGTAGAAAATGTAATAATGTTTGAAGATATGAAATTGATACACAAAAAAGTGCTACAGTGAATCACTTTATTACCGATGTTAACAAATGTAAACGTTTGCTCTTAAAATCTTTACAATTCACTGCTATAGAATTAGTATTCAATTTGAGCAAATATAAGTAATAACGAAGGTGCTATTATCAGGCTTTTTTTCAAAATCAATCATCTATTTGGAGTTGATTGCAACGAGTAACGAAAGTAATAAACTTTTTATTTGTATCTCGAAGAAGCAAATATATTAAAAAAATATATAGTACAACAAGTTACGATTTGTATATATAATAAAATCTTAATAAGAAATAAACCAATTATAAAAAAAAATTGGACAGTTAAAATTTGTATATGTAATGGAAAATTAAGAGAAAATATAAACCCTTTATAGAAAAAAACAGGAAAGCAACAATTTGATAATATTAAAGAAAATTTAAAGTTAAAAAAAATAAATTATTAAAAAAAATTTTTTTTTATAATTATAGCTGTATTAGTTTTATAATAATTTTCCAATTTTGTTAAAACAAAATATATTTATGAAAAAAATTAAAAATAAATATAAAAAATAATAAATAAAAATAATAAATAAAAATAATAAATAAAAATTTTAAAAATATTCTACATTGCTTTCAAGAAATTTCTTTCGAAGTTTATATACGAATTGTGAACAGTAGGAGTTTGTTTTTTAGTAGATACAGTCTTCGCAAACCCCATGAATTTAATTCGTTGTGATATATATAAAGACATTTAAAAAACAAATACAATATAATTTACTAATGACATTGTAAAATTATAACCTGCAAATGTTATTTAAAATAAATAATCGATGCTAAACTTAGCTGAAATGTATAAATACAAAAAAAGAGCAGCCAAAGTGCTAGTTAAATGCACTTAAAAAAGTTTCCCACTGTAGTTCAATTATATGAAATACAATAATCGATCACAGTACTACAACTTCGTTTTTAACGTTTGCAACTACTGTATCCAACTACTGTGGTTAAATCGTGCTTAGCGTATAGGAACAAAAGAAGAAATGAGAAAACATGCCAGTTAACAGCACTAGGAAAACGGAATAATTATATGACAACAAATTTTTATACATACATTTTCATTATTAATAAATAAAAAAAAATACCATAGCATTTTAGTAAGATTGCTTATGGAAAAGTGGTATATGAGCATAACAATTTCCCTATTGAAGAACAGTTTATTTGAATAGAATTGAGCATTACTACAAGTTTATTATTACACATTTAATTTTTTTCATTTATATATTTTAAATAATTTTTTTTTACATTTTATAATACACAAGAGTCAAAAAATTATGTACAACCATTAAAAAAAAAATAAAAATTGGAATTATGTGTTGCTCTTCATTTCAGTTATTGTTCTTGTTTTTTTTTTCTTTTTTTTTTCTTTTTGTCATTAAAATAATAAAATTTCAGTTAAATTAATATGAAATAAAATTTAAAATGCAAGATAGGAAAGGAAGGAGGAGGTAACATCCTAACCACTCTATTATTAAAGTTAAGAGCATATGTAAATAATAGTAGACATCATTTAAGAGTAATTACAATTATTTATGTATTAAAGAGAGAGAGAGAGCAACATTATCCTATAATTTGAGCAAAAATCAATAAAAAAAACCATAAATAACTTACTGCTCTCAATTTATAACATCACCAACTTCCGACGAATAATAATTAAAGGTCTGCTTTGACAAATCTATATAAGAATCTTTACCTAAGAGCAGCGTACTTGGAGCAGACCCATCATAGGGAAAAAAGTATGCAATTTCACCACTGAAAGTCGGCTTGATATCTTGTTCAGGTTGTATTTGTTGTTGTTGTTGTTGTTGTTGTTGTTGAAGCTCTTCCGCTACATCTTCTAAAGACTGTAGAGAAAGATTTGATACTTGCTTCTGGGTGAGCAATATTTCACCAGCCACTGTTGGCATTGTTGTTGATAATTTTGTTGTTACTGTTGGTGTTATTGTTGTTGTTGGTATTGCTGCTGCAATTGTTGTTAAATTGCAAGTACAATTGTCAAGGCAAACTGTTGCTGTTGCATGTGCTGCGGGTATTGTCTGCAATATTGGTGTTGTTAATGTGGTAGGAATAGTTAGAGTGGTATATTCGTATGGATTTAATGATGAGTTTGAATAGGTTAGTGAATCATTGGAAACGGGTAAGATATAGGTATTTGGATAATTGGTTTGGGTTAAGGTGTTATTTTCATTTAATGAAGTTTCAACATTTATATTTGCTGCTGTCGTTATAATTGTTTTTGCTGGCACGCTTAATCACGTGCTTAGCCAAGTCGAATTGCATGTGCAAATTGTTGGTATCACAGGTGCATAGTAGACGCCATTAGCGTAAATTAAACCTGGTGGTCCGGCCTGTATTTGTATTGTTTGAGGAACGGTTGCGGTAACAGTTGCTTGTTGCTGCTGTTGTGTTTGTGGTTGCTGTTGAGCCTGTTGTTGCTGTTGTGCTTGCTGTTCATTAGTCGGCGGCATAGTACAACAAATAGCGGTTGTTGTCGGTGTAGCCTGCTGTAGATATATAGTCTGTAGCTGTTGTTGTGGTTGTTGTGATTGCTGTGCTGCGACAATGGTTACAGTCTGCTGTTGTTGTTGTTGCTGTTGTTGCATATCAACGACTTGCTGATATTGCTCCTGTGTTAACTGTTGTTTCTGTTGATCTTTGAAAAGAACCTGAGCTGCGAGTGTCTGTATGAGTAGCAAAGTTTGTCGCCGCTCATGTCCCATCAGGCAAACAGTAGACATTTCAACAACTTGACGTAAATGCATCAGGTACTGATACTGTAGTGGTTCCTCATCTACACCCCAGAAATGATTGCGTAAATATGCTTCCAATTTAACAGTCTGTGTATTTATATCCGGAAAATCGATAAAAAATCTTGAGCACATATAACGTTCCATTGTTTTGATACGTTGTGGATCAACGGGTTTATAATTACGTACAAGTAAATTACAATACTTGAGTAAACCGCCACCACGTATTTCTTCCGGTTGTCTCGTTGAGATCAATTTTTTTTGTAAGTGATATAGTGCCTCTTGGAAGTCGCCATAAACTGATTCTCCTACAACAGTTGGATAGAAATTTTCCGATATTGGTAATGCAGCGCAATCATAAAACAAAAGTAATGAGTCCAAAACAATTTGGAAGGAATCAACTGAAAATTCAAATTGTCGGCGCATTGTATCAACAAATTTCAGTTCTACATTTTTATGACCAGGAGAATTGCCTAATGATATAAGTGACCAGCGGTCGCCATCATTATTATTATTTACTTTAACCATTTTACCAACGTAAGCTTCTTTTAAAGCGCATGGCATAATTCGTCGTTTGGATACACCTTCTGGCAATAAATCAAGTAATGTATTTAGTACAGCGTTCTTAACGCGATCAAAATGACGTGATGAGCTTAGTTCAATGGCATATATAAGATCTAAATCATTATATGGCTGATCTTCGGATGCTAAAACATGACTAGCTGCGCCTCCGTTCAAACGTATATCTTTGACTATCACACCAGCACCACCAGAGCCAACATCAGCCTCTAGCTTGCGTCGTACTGCATTTACTAAGTCTTTCAATGTTACTTCCAATGTTGGAAAATTACCGCGTCCATGAATGGCAACTTTTTCATCCATAACATTATGCAATTTTCGCACCTGCTCAAATGAAAGTACAGCCAAACGTTGTGTACCGCCAGTATCAACACTTTCTAGCGAACCATGATCCGAAGTGGATGCAATGGATGAGCCAGAACTCGGTGATGGCGGTGGTGTTTCAGTGCCACCATCAGAGTGAAAACCATCATCAATTTGATAAGCATCCATTCTGGTTGATCTCTGTTGATGATATGAAGGAATGGGTGCGTCTAATGTCCCGCACTGTAAAAAAAGAACAAAAATATATGTAAATAAGATAATATAATAAGGTATCAAAGTGACTAAAATTTAACTATAATATTGTAAAATATAATAATTATTAAATAAAAATATAAATTAAAGTAATACGTATTTTATTTAATATTTCTGGTTTTTAGAAGAAAACTTATTTCGTCTTTATAGTATTATATTTGCAATGGACATATATGTTTAGAAACAAATTAATATTGCGGATAACAACAATGAATGGGAATAATTATAATAAAACAACAAGATTAAGAAATAAAGTGGAAAGCAAAAAGTGGACAAAAGAAATGAAAAATGAACAGCTGAGAAAAACAATACGATAAGAGTTGATAAGGGTCAATTTAAGCAATATAGATTTCAGAACAACCGTCAACTTCTGCTACCAGTATCGTGCATAATTATGCATTGAACATTACTATTCACAGTTTTTTAATTTGATTACCTGCCGTGACGACTTAACACCACGGTGGTCTTAACACACGTATCGGGATCTCTTTCCGTCGGTACCAATAGAGGCTATAAGTTTGGATATAGTTTCCTTCTTCGGAACGAGCCCTAACGAACACTTCTGCAGCCATTATGATACTACCATTTAGGGGTCAACCTCTATTGGTCAGCTGAACCTAAACTGCTTTGACCCTGGCTCCTGTGGTATCGAATTTACACTTCCGGTTGGATGTCCCAAGTAAAACTTACACTTGGGACACCCAACTTATACTTGATATAGTCTGTGTAGGGTTACTGATACTTAGTGTCGGTATAGACTAGTGGCATCAGACTTTATCTATACCAGGAATTAGTTAACGAATTTATAGATATTTATTGAAAATATATCTTATAAAGCATATCTTTGTACTTCCAATATATTGAATTTTGTTTTAATTAAATTAAAATTTGAATCAAAATACATTACGTGGTTTAGAAAGGCCACAATTTAAATAATCGTTTATGGGATTAATTTAACTCAAAATATGCAATTACTTTACACCGACGACCAATAGAAGTCTTCCAACTAATTTAAGATAATTGATTGCATTACGTGTCATTCATTTTTATTTTTATTTTTAATATTATTTATTTTAATTACATTGAGTCGGTACAAAAAGTTTCTAGTATTCATTCAATCGATTTTATACTTTTATTATGAACCAATTATATTGTGGAAAAAACAACAATAGAGGGACTATTGCAAAAGTGCAAGCTGTTCGCTAAATACGTTCACATAGAAATGTATAAATCAAGAGTACAAATTTAGAGGTCTGCTTAGTTAGACACTTGGTTGGTTGGTTGGTTAGTTACTCGTTTGGTTTCTATAAGCCCAGGAGACATGTACGTAATTGCCTTATTAAATTTGTGACGTGAATTGTATTATGAGTCTGTGTCCATAAGTATGGTGCACACATAGAGTACCATATAGCATAGGCATCTATACTATATATGCTTAAATAATTACTATATAAAACTACAAGAAATGAAATATTTATAATTACTTTATTTTAAATTAGCTGAAAATTGATGAGGTTTAGTAGTCTCAAATAAGAGACACAACACAAGCCTCATTAAAAACAATCTAGAAAATTGCACTGCAAATGCGAAACTCTAAATAAATACCTTAAAATTGTTAACCATAAATAATATAATAAATGAGTTCAGCAATAAACAGAAAATACGAAATCAAAATAAAATTAAAATTGAAATTTCGATTAACGTTTAACGTTTAACTGACGAATGAAATCGAAATCAAAATCGAAATGGAAGTCGACATCAATATCAAAATATCCGTATTACTAACACATTTTTTAAATCGTATAAAAAAAAGTGAAGAAAGAATTTAAATATTCGTAACAATCACAAAATGAAAAAGTAGATTAGTATTCACGACTTGCACAAATTCAGCTATAAAATAAGAAGTCTATAGACACATTGCTAGGTCTAGCAGTACAAATAAGTACGAATATATTCAAGAGATACGAAATACCACGGCATAATTTTGAAAAAAACATAAAAAAAAAATACAAAAAACCAAGAAGATACTAATAGCATAAACAACAACAATCAAACAATAAAAATTACTCTGCGAATTTAAAATTTATGCCACAATAATAAAAACAAAAAATAAAAAATGAAAAAGATACAAAAATATTTCAAATACTTAAAAATAACAATACAATAAACCAAAAAAAGAAAAAAAATAATTATAAAAAAGATATTAACCATAAAAGAAGTTTTTTTTTATATGTACACTATACAAAGCCACAACTGTACATACATACATACTTAGATACATGTAAGTTAGTAAATAAGTAAGTATAATTAAACTATGATGAAATATTCGTCGTAGCTTATAAAACGAAACCGAAACCGAAACCGATAATAAAAATAAGTTTACCATCATTTTATCGGTTAATACCGCAACCGTAAATAGTTAAAAAACTTTATAATTAACACATCTACACACGCAAAGCGGTTTGAGATATTAAAAAGTATTCGAACAGTTACGGTTCAGCACTATAAATTAAATCTATTTTTCTATTTTTCTATTTTTCCCCAACTAGTCACACACTAGTAAAACAATAGAGTTCCCTTGTGGAGCAGCTGAATCTCATCATAGCTTTTGCAATTACTGAAGAAGAATGCATTTAATTGTGAATATTTAATATAAAATTTAGGGCGGCATGGGTTTACTGTAATTGGCGTTTCTCCAGAACAATCGAGAAATATCTTTATACGTTGTTATTGAATTCACCTTAAAAAAGCGATTAGATGACTAAGATTTTGTGACGAACTTTTTGTAATTTAATAAAGTTACTAATTTTTTAATGGAATAGAAAACTGAACAATAGAGAAAAAAATAAAATAAAATAAAAAATTATAAAAATTTGGACAATTATTTCGAATTTTGCTTAATATTTATATTAAACAACTATGGTTCATCTATGGTTTTTATTATTTACTATTATATTATATTATATATATATATTATATTAATATATATATTATATTATATATATATTAATATATATATTATATTAATATATATATTATATTAATATATATATTATATTAATATATATACTAAAGAAGATTACATCTTTTCCATAGTTTTTGACATGAAATTGAGGGATCTACCCAACCCTTTTTTATATTTATTATAAAAAGAATACATTTTTTCATCTAACTTCCTTTTGTCCAAAATGGATCAAGGTAATATAAGGAATAATAAAAAAAAAGTTAACAATAACTGAAATATTTTAAGGCTTTGACGAGGATATAAAGGTTTAATAAAATAGTATAGAATATATATAAAAATGGTTAAATCTCTGTCAACTCTTAACTGATAATACATCAGGACCCCATACACAACTTCTTTAATTTGTATTATGTTGAGAGTTGAATTTGACTTATATGATGTTTCCACCGTAGCCAAAATTTCTTATATTAATTAAATTAAGATTTGATCGTTTCCACAAGCATAACCTGATTTATGTATGTAAAATAATTTGTATGTTCACATTTTACAAATAAAACATGTAATGAATATTTGAAATTTTGGTAATTTCCCTTCTAGGAAATTTATTTTTAAAGGTTGCATTTTTCACCTTAAATCAGTTGATTTATATGAAAGGTTTTTTTATGATAAATTATCCTCATTAGCGGCATTAAAGTGTAAAACTACCTAAATAAGACAAGTGGAAGTATTATAAGTGCACAAATGGTATTAAGATTAATAATGATAGTCGATGATTTTAATATATAGATAATGATATTAATATATAAACGACGATATTAATAAATAGACGACAATATTAATATGTAGACGATGATTTAATGTGGCTTCAAAAAAATATTATTAGATTTATCTACAATGAAATAATATTTGAAATTATACATATATTTAAGTTAAGGTATCCAGTTTTATTTAAGAATCAACGTACACAAGAGACGAGCTAGATTTTTATTAAAGAAAGAGGCAAAAAAATCACCTGTTAATTTACCGAAAATAAAATCTCTTAAATCTCTAAACTTTGGTAAAGAACAAGAACATCAAATATTCATAGAGTTGCATGGTCTGGAACAAGTAAGAATCACTTAACACTGACCCTTTATGCATATATTAAATCTTTATTATATAAAGTTAGAAACGAAGTTTCATTAATCTGTAACCACAGAACTCATTCTTCTAGTCTGTAAAACTTCACTTAAATATTACATATAGACGACAGGCGATAGACAAGCACTCATCGTCTCGTTACGTGAACGAAGTAAATCCCATAAGTATTGGAAATTAATTTCTTCGAATTCCAGTTCGAACGTATTGTAATTTCCTCAAGCGTTAAAATTTTTCTTCGGAATTCTTAATAGTTTTCAATATGTCCATATTACCAAGACATTGTTTATTCTAATGTTTGAATAGTTCCTTAATTCGTATGAATACAATTAATCCACATATGATTATAAATAATATCAGAGCTTGAAAAAGTATTGCGAATATTAATTTTATCGCATAATTGGTTAAGAAAGAGCTCATCAGGCCGCAGTGGGGCTAACGGAGCATATGTAACGCGGTTTAGCAAATTGCGTTATTACTTATTTAAAGAAAAACCTAACCTTGTTTATTTATATCGCAATGACCTATTGTTAAGTACCTTATTTCTGATAAGACTTAGGTAAGAATTAGCATTAGGCAACAAGTTTATAGTTTAAGTAATACGCTTTATCTAAAAGAAAACCTCTATTACTAATTGTATATGTCATACTTTTCAAGGCAATTATATGGAACTATTGAAAAGTATTTTGATTGAAATCATATTTATGTGACTTTTAAAACAGAGCTTTTAACTTTATATGAAATGTGAATAACTAATTTTGATAAATGTCAAGATCATTAAAAAAAAATGTTGACATTTAGTATAAGTCCTCAGTACGTTGTCTCCCTTTCATATTTTATTAAAGAGAACAAATTACTCCATGAACAT